CAGCCTGTTTCTTTAATTGGGTGATTTGTTCCTTATTGACTCGGGCCATGTTTTTTGCCTGCATGGCTATTTCCTTCACTCCTTTGATCTCTTCCTTAATTTGTTTAAGCTCATTTTTCACTTCACCAATCTGTTTTGTTATTTGTTCCTGTGAGGCTAACATTAAAGCTTGAAACTGGGCAATTTGTTCTGACAATACTTTCACTGTCGTAGCCATGTTGATTAATTAGCTGGCTGCAACCTCTCTATCTTTAAAGGTTGATAACTTTCTTCTTACCCTGCTAAGCCACAAATTCTTCGGCACTCCTTGTTCACTGTCGCTTTAGAGACCTCTGAGGCTGTTCTCTGGCAGTTTAAGTGAGATTTATCTCCTTCTTTTAGGTCATAAATCCTTCGTCAGTTTGGAGTGGGGGAGCAACGGCGTCTGTTCTTCAGAGCATGCGCACACCGACCTCCCTCTCACATTTCAACAATAAATCAACTTTCATTTTCAAACCGCTCAGCCACCAAACACTAGCTCCGGTATGCGATTTCTGATTCCAGTTCAGTATGCTCCGCGGCGGGACCTTCGGGGCATTGAGTAAGCCCCCCTTCGCTGGCAGGGTCGCTGGAGGAAGAGCCTTCTAGCACCCCATGGCTGGGGGCCTCATGCAGAGGCTCCGGGGGTGGCACGGACAATCACACCCCCTCCTCACCGTGGGCTCTGGAAGTCGTCACCCGGAGACCTGGAGAAAGCGGCCGCCATGGCGAACACCAAAACTGGAAGTCCTTCAATTTTACTGTTATGCGTTCAGTTGAGGAATCTTGTTTCATCTTTTCTTCTTGTTTTTTACTTCGTTCCTTAATTTGGGAGAATTTTTCTGTCTTTTGTTTTTTGATATGTGCAGCTTCTCTGATTATCCAGCCTCTAGCGTAGGCCTTAAATGCATCTCATACAGTTGAAATGGAGATATCTGGCTGGATGTTTTGTTTAAAAACATTTGAAATTCTTTTTTAGTCTCGGTTACAGTTTTTTTGTTCTTCAATAAAAAGGTGTCCAGGGACCATCTATTTTTCCTTGGAGTATCTTGTAATTTAAGCATAATAGAATTGTGGTCTGTGAAAGTTGCTGGTAATATTTCCACTTCCAATAAATCGTTTATAATGTTGTTGATATCCAATACATATCTATTCCTGATCATGACTTGTGTCTCGCCGAATAAAAAGTAAAGTCGTTCTTTCATGGATTTCTGACTTTCCAAGAGTCAACCGTGTTCTTCTGCCAATTGTAAAAATGTATTAGGAAGTTTGTTGCCTTGTTTTTGTTTTCCAGTTGTTGTATTTCTGTATAAGAGTCTGTCAAATACCACATTGTATTCTCATTAGTTTCATCAAAGTTTTGTTTTGAAATGAGTTCTTGCAAAAGTTTGTAAAAATTTTCCTGATGTTGATTAAGTGCATAAATATTTACAATCAGGGTTGCTTTACCTTGTCTTTGTAATTCTGCCATCTTCAGAGTGGTATAATAATTCAGGGTATAAGTATTCTTTCACATATGTCACTACCCCTTTTTATTCTTTTCCTTATCTGAAGAGATAAAAACTTTCCCAAGTTTCTTAATGTCCAAATATTTTTTATCTGCATGTTTTATATAAGTCTCTTGTAAATGGATAACATCTAGTTGCATCTTTTTCAGTTGCTGGAATACCTGCCTTCATTTTTGGGGGTGCATTCAGTCCATTAACATTTATTGAAATTATCATTATTTTTCTTCTATCCATCTTGTGATTGTGTTTTGGTATCATCTTTACTCTTCTGCTGAAGTCTTTTAAGTATTCGAGTTTCGAGATGCTGTAATCTTTACTGCTTTTCTGGTTGCTGAGGTTTTCCTAGTTGTCACTGATGCCCCTTGTGAATCCTGTACTTCTGTACTTCCCGGTTTCTCTTCTTCAGTTTCGAAGTCTTCTCTATGGGATTTAATAAAATCTTGTGCCTTGACGATTGAATTAATTATATATCTTTCCCCCTTGTAATTAAAGAAAATACATTCTGGAAGTAGCCATCTGTATGGGATTTCATTTTTTCTCAAGATGCTTGTAAGGTCCTTATATTCTTTTCTTTTCTCCCTCACTCTGCATGGAATTTCTTTTTAAAAAATTATTGCTGTATCTTCTGTTTGTAGAGATGTTTCATTTGCTGCTTTAAGAAGTTCATCTCTTATAGTTCTCTTGTGAAATCTTACATGTACGTCTCTAGGAAATTAGTTTCTTTTTGCATATGTTGAATTCATTCTATATGCAAGATCAATCTCATTATGAACTTCATCTATATCTTCTGTACCAATTTATTTTACCAGTGTGTGTGCCATTGCTGTTTTTAAATCTTCATTATTCTTTTCAGGGATATTTTGAAATCTTAAGATATAAGATGCTTTATCAAGCACTAGTTTTATAAGAAGAAGAAGAAGAGAAGAGATTGGATTTATACCCCGCCCTTCACTACCCAGAGGTGTCTCAGAGCGGCTTACAAACTCCTTTCCCTTCCCCTCCCCACAACAGACACCCTGTGAGGTGGGTGGGGCTGAGAGAACTCTGACACAAACTGCTCTTTTTCAAGGACAGCTGTGCCAGAGCTTGTGACTGACCCAAGGTCACATCAGCAGGTGCAAGTGGAGGAGTGGGGAATCAAACCCGGTTCTCCCAGATTAGAGTCCGCACACTTTAACCACTACACCAAACTGGCTCTTCTATATTTATTTATTTATTATTTTGATTTATACCCCGCTCTCCCCGCAAGCAGGCTATAGAGTCCTGTTTGGATTTTACTGTTTCAAATTTAAGATCTGCTTCTTCTGATTCTTTTTAAAGTTACTTGTTGTTTTTATCAAAGCAGAAATGTCTTGTCTGTTTTCCTTAAGTTGTTTCTGAACTTCTTCCATCTGGAGTTCCATTTTCCAAACAAGTGTATCTAATTTATCTTGAATAGGGTCCACAGCTGCTTTTACCGCTGTTGTTATACCTGAAGTTACTGTCTCCTGAATTAAGGCCTGTAGATCTTTTATTGATACCTGTGCTAAATTGGCACCTACAGATTTAACTGTACCTGGAGATGGTGCACCAGGGAGATTTTTTTAAACTTTCTGTACCAGCCATTTTCAGATAGCATATTAAAAACAAAAAATCTCTCTCAAGTTCCTTTTCAATAAAAGCTTCTAATCTCACTCAGTTTTCCAAATTTACAAAACAATTATTATTGTTATTACTGCTCTGTTATTATAGTCACATTACAAACAAAATCTCTCCCCACAAAAGCAGACAATCTTATCACCTGTTTACAATATAGTCAGAACAGAGTATAGTTTGGTAATTTCAACAAGCAATGACACTACATTGCCCGGTTTGTCATCTATGTTACAAGGAAGTGATGTATAGAAAGTGAAAATAAGTTTTAAATAGTTTATTTCCACCTTCTTTCTTCTTTTCAGCAAAAAAAATATGGTTGTCCTAATTTGTAATCCAAATCATGTTAAAATAGGTTTAATTGTAATCCATAAATGAATCTTCTTATAATTCCAAATGGTTTAATTATAATTCCATTAAAAAGGAAACATCAATAAGATAAAATCTTCTTTTACACAAAAGTTTGATAGTCTTCTTAATTTGTAATCCAAATAATGATATAATATGGTTAATTCTATACCATTAACAATTCTTCATATATGTCCAATAATTTAATTATAATTCCAAAAAGAAGGAAACTTTAGTAAAATAGAGTCTAATCCAAAAGTAACAAATTTTCAAATAAATCTATAATCCACAGTATGGTCTTGTATAGTTGGTAAGGCTGTTGGGCAATTTTATTCTCAGGGATCAACCATTTCTTCTTTAGCCCACAGATTTATTTTTAAAGTTCCTTTTTAGGTCTCTTCCAAGCCACTTTGGGGAAGAGGGGGGGATTTCCTTCACCCCTCCATTTTCTTATACTTTTTACTTGACAAGTCAAAAGGGCTCAGTCAGCAAGTGATTCTCTGATCTTGTTGCATTTAAAAGTACTCACGGTGTTTGGTTAGTTGGATGAGGTCTGCTGCTTTCCCCCTCATCCCAGTAAGTCATGGCTCCACACTCATGGCTGCCATGAGTGCTCTCGCGCGCAGGTCTTGTTTCGGGGCAATCCAGGACTTTTACCCACTTGCCGCTGCTCATGGTGAGTCCCAATCAACCCCCCTGCTTGCTCTCCTTTCCGAGGAACCCAATGGAGTTTGGGAGCCCCTGAACTCCACTAAAAGACCCAGCAATCCATTGGCTTCACGGAGCAAGTCCCAGAGTGAACCATCCTCACCACGCCAAAAACCAGAAGTCAAAAATCAGTTCTCAATCAGAGCTCTCTCAGCCCCACCTACCTCACAGGGTGTCTGTTGTGGGGAGGGGAAGCGGAAGTTCTGGTAAAGAGCTGGATCTGAAGCGGTTTGCCATTTCAAACTGCACTGGTTTTTCCTGCTTTTTCGCCGCCATTTTTTGCCCACGCGGACGATCTTTGGCTTTTTTAAAACGTTCGTTTTAGAGCGCTATAGTGCTATAACACAACATTCCAGGCATTCCAATGGGGTTGATATAACGTTGTTACATTATAGTGTTATACTGTTATACCGCTATAGCACTATAAAGCGAACATTAAAAAAACAAAGCTGGAGATCACCGCGCAGGCGAAAAACATGAGAAAAAGCGCATCGGAACCGGGAGAGGAAACTTAAGACTACTTGGAAGCGGTTGACAGGTAAAACACTTCAGCCCCATTTCCTAAATGGGACAGAAGCATTTGTGTGCGAAATTACAAATATATTCCGATAGGGAACCGGTTCTAAAACGGTTCTGTCTGAAATGACAGACTAGAAACCATTTGGGAACCGTTCCTCTTCCGGATTATATCGTCTGTCTGAAATTCCTCATGGTCTTTAAATTCCTCAGGAATATTGTTTAGATTGTATTTTGGCCCTATGAATGCTTTTGTGTTCTTCAGCTTTCTCTAATTTTCAATATTAACCATTCATGATCAATACCCCAGTCAGTTTCTAGTCTTGTTTTAGCAGAGGGAATAAAGCTTCTCCATCTTCTGCTTCCAATAATGTTATCTGCTTGATTTCTAAATTGGCTGTCTGATGGTGTCCACATATAGAATCATCTGCTTGATTTCCTGGAACATGTTTGCAATGAATAAAGTGTTGCCTTCACATCCCTGAAGTGGGAGGATATTTCTTAGTCTGGTGTCTCAGCTGTTACCATTCCACCTTGAGTGACTCTGCTAGGAATTTAGACCCGTTATGGTGTTGCTCTCATCCTCTGACACATACAAACCCCCTCACCACATTAAGGTGTGTGTCCAAGAGGGAGTGGATTTAGAAGTATGTAAATCTGATTAGTATTTTACTATGAGTCATCAGAGTAGCTCAGAGATATTAGGGCCACTGCTATGTAACTTATAAATCATCTGGTTTCATCATTTTGTGCTACCTGCCTCTGGAAGGAAGACAAAGTTGTGGGTCAGAAAGTTAATGACCACTGCCTTCCTCACTTATACCAGCAGTGGCCAGAAGGAAGGGAAGCCTGTTGGATCTCACCTTCTGAGTGGCACAGGCTGCAGAGGCAAAAGGCATCTATTGCCCACCACAGGTCACTGGAAGAATCCTTTTTCCAGGATGTGCAATGGCAAGGTGGGTCTGGGATGTGACAATGAGTACAAGTTACACTTATTACCTCTCCCTGCATTGCTGCCCTCCTCAACCTTTACTGCCCAAGCAGCAAGCTGGGTCACTTGTTCAGTGAGTCGGCCTTGAGTATGGACTTTAAAATCAACATGCTGAGACTTCCCATACTGAAGGAAGTAGGTGCACATGCTCTTCCTGACCATATATGAAATGAATGCTCAGTGATCAGTTTGTATTATACTGTTGTAGATCTGATCCTTCCTCCTGCTTTTCTAATAGCAAGGATGGATCCAGAGGCACATCTCAACTATTAATCTGGCCTGACAGCTCCAAACAAACACTATGTAGTAATGCTAAATCTACATCCTAATTCCATATAGGTTTCAGCTCTCTGGTGAGCTATGTGACCAGTATACCAGCTGGCCCCTGGAACCCAATACAAGATACACAACCAAAGCTAGCAACTGTTCACCACAACTATCTACAAATAGAGATGGACTCTCAGAGGATTATAGCAACACCCCTTCCCTATCCCCCAGTCTGAAGCAAATGAAAGACCACATACCCAGCTGGAACCAGATGAGACAAAATGTAACCATAAGCACTGTCCAGCCAGGTTTCAGTCAACCATGCCAGGTCAACATCCTCCCTCGCAATAATATCATGTAAAAGTGAGGTCTTATTTTTCTTGGGACGGCATTTATTAACATCAAGGCTGAGAGAATTTTTAACCAGGCTTTGTTTACATGGTATACTATGCTTAGATGGAGATTATACAGACAATAGTCCTGAAACAATTATAAAGCTATAATACAAAACCTGGATAATACAAAACCTGAAATGCTGGCCTGGATGAATCACAAGCGGGAACTAAGATTGCTGGGGAAAAGATCAACAACCTCAGATATGCAGACGATACCACTCTAATGGCAGAAAGTGAAGAGGACCTAAAGAGCTTCTTACTCAGGGTAAAAGAGGAGAGCACAAAAGTGGGCTTGAAGCTCAACATCAAAAAAACTAAGATCATGGCATCCGGCCCCATCACTCCTTGGCAAATAGAAGGGGAAGTCGTGGAAGTAGTGACAGACTTCACGTTCCTGGGATCCCAGATCACCGCAGACTGTGACAGCAGCCATGAAATTAAAAGACGCCTGCTCCTTGGGAGGAAAGCGATGGCGAACCTAAACAGCATGATAAAAAGTAGAGACATCACCCTGCCAACAAAAGTCCGCATGGTCAAAGCAATGGTATTTCCAGTAGTCGTGAATGGCTGCGAGAGTTGGACTACAAGGAAGGCCGAGCACCGAAGAATAGATTTTTTTGAACTATGGTGCTGGAGAAGACTCTTGAGAGTCCCTTGGACTGCAAGAAGATCAAATCAGTCAATCCTAAAAGTAATCAACCCTGACTGTTCCCTGGAAGGCCAGATAATGAAACTGAAGCTCAAATACTTTGGACACCAAATGAGAAGGGAGCACTCACTGGAGAAGACCCTGATGCTGGGAAAGATTGAAGGTCAAAGAAGACGGGGATGGCAAAGGATGAGATGGTTGGACAGTGTCATAGATGCAACGAACATGAAATTGAGCAAACTTCAGAGGACGGCGGAAGACAGGAGGGCCTGGTGGGAGCTGGTCCATGGGGTCGCAAAGAGTCGGACTCGACTGTGTGACTGAACAACAACAACAAAATACAAAACCCTATAAACGACAAGTCATATCAACCCTAGTATCTAAAATGTCTCATCAAATGGGCAGGGACATGCTGGACATCCTCTGGCTTTACCCTCTCAAGCTGAATGACATATCACCAGTGGCATTGCCTGGGTGGAATAGGCATCCTGAGCCAGAAAGACAGCCTGTTGACCAATAAGAACCTTCCTAGTTGGGGGGGAAGGTCTCCTGGTTCCAAACTGAAGAGTCCAGCTGCCTACACAGGTAGGCATACAGGGAAGCACAGCCATCCTAACCACATCACTCAGACACTTCCACAACTAACTTGAAAGCCCATAAAGAGCCACAGATTCTTTTAGCCAAACACAACAACCCACACATTTAGGGTTGGCAGACAGAGTTTTAGTTCATTATGTTCTTTAATATTGTTCTGTGTTTTTGTCATTGCGGTTATTTTATTTACAAGAGGGGGACCCGCGATACTCGCGGGGGGGAGAAGAGCCCCGTCTCCTCCACCCCCCACCCTTCGATCTCCCCGAGGCGGCGGCGCCCCCCGCCCACTGTCCGCCCCCCCGGCCGGTCTTCCCCCCC